ACGGCTGTCCAGTCTCTTCTGAAAAACTTCCAGTGTTGGAGTACCCAATGACTTCTGGAGGCAGGTTGTTCATGAGGACCAGCATCCCTTTTTTTAAATGAGGGGCAATGTTTTCTCTCACTGCTGAACTAGAGAAGCGGTAGAGATCCTTAAAAAGGATGATTGAAGTGTTTTCTGTTAGGTGTGGAACCGGCCTTCCGGTTTTCCTATTGGGATCTCATTCCCCTTCCCACAAAGCTTTGCCACCTGAATTCCGTCCGAGGTCGGTAAAACGAGGACCCGGATTACTGGGGGCAATAGGGTGACTGTAAACCGCTTAGAGAGGGGCTGTAAAGCGATATATAAGTCTAAGTGCTATTGGTATTGTTATATATTGTTGCTACGTAGGTACATATATGCTACATACGTTATTACTAGAGATTTATTTGGTTACAGGTAGTCCTCGAGTTATGACCACAATTGAGCCGAAAATTTATGTGGCTAAGTGAGATGTTTGTTAAATGGGTTTAGCCCCATTTTACGATCTTACTTGCCACAGTTGTTAACTGAATCACTGCAATTAATTTAGTAATTAACTGTTGTTAATTGAATCTGGTTACCCCTTTGATTTTGCTTGGCAGAAGGTCGCGAAAGGAGACCACATGACTCCAGGACACTGCGACCGTCGTAAATATGAGTCAGTTGCCAAGCCTCCGAATTTTGATCATGTGACCATGGGGATAGTGGTCGTTAAGTGTGAAAAATGCTCTTAAGTTCCTTTTTTCAATGCCGTTGTAATGGTCACTAAATAAACTGTTGTAACTCGAGGATTACCTGCATAAGTCTAAGTGCTATTGCTATTAATTGTCAATGCTGTTGTATTTAAAAGTGCATAAAAATATTTTGCTTAATGATGAGAATCAGTAGGTCTGTTATATTTAATGTAGCTTCTAAAGCCTTGTTTTTTAAAGTGTGATCTGAGGACCCCTGGAAGTCTCCCAAGATTCAGATGTCCTCAAAATTATATGCCAGCCTATGTTGAAAAATAATATAATATTAAAATCACATCAGATAATTGTAAGAAGCTGTAGTGGCAGAGAATGTTTCAATTCTAATGGATAATGTGATCAATGTCAGTCAATGTCAGTTATAGAACCAAATGTTCTTTTTGGGGTCCTCTATAATTTTTAAAAGTGGGAAGGGTTCCTGAGAGGAAAACAATGTAAGAATCACCCTTGCATTAATTTTGATCGTTGCAATTGTAATTTTGAATAAAATTTCTATTAAAAAAAAAGAATTCCCATACCTGCAATGATATTTGGTGGTGCTCTTTGTATGACTGCCTAAACTCCTGGGGAGATAAACTGCCTGTCCATCAGGTAAATTGCGAGCTATTTAACATTTCGATTAAAAAATTATAGTCTTTACATTTTGTGACTTCATATTTATTTAGGGCGCTCCTTTCACAGAGGAAAAAAAATATCTTCAGTGTGCTTGGGGAAAAGGAGAGCATCCATTTTGACATATCTCAAGGTCCTGCTCTCAGTGAGTATTGGTTATGTGTGCCAGGTCCCTGTCTGCTGTTTCATTTGCCATCTAAAGTTCTTTGACTGCTGTACTTTTCAATTCATTTTTACAGTTTGCAGTATTTGACCTACCTTCAAATTGTTGGGTTTATTTTTTTAACCTGGAATAATTGATCTACCTAATTCTAGGGAAAAAGGCAAGTGAAAGAATTGCTGTATATGAGTTTCAGTAGGTGGAATCTGCTCAAGGCAATTCATTTTAGCCTGTCTTGACGTTACTAAATGATTCAGTAAAATCAGGTGTCCAGAGACTTTGGGACTGATTTGTCACAGGTCATAAAAGCTTGATTGGAAGGAAGCGAGACCAGCATAGAAACTCACATGGTGGATTTCATCTTCACATAGAATTATGTTTGATTTCTTGTAAAAAAAAAGTTTAACTTCTGGTGGAACCGTAAACATTTCTGCTTTGTCATTTTTTGTCAGGCATTCAAAGACCAATGTGGTATCTGATATGATTAATAAAGAATATTTTGGTAGAGTCTGTTGGAGGATGGGGTGCAGTGTGAAAAAGTGGACGTGTTAGATTTTGTTATATTTCCCTTTCCTCTTCTCTCTCTCCCCCCCCCCCCCATAACGCATGGATGTGCCTCTTTTCCTCACCCTGTGGAACAGCTGGGAGAAAAGCAGGATGTGGCACGAAGCCCGAAAACATGAGCGAAAGCTGCGGGGGATGATGGTGGATTATAAGAAAAGAGCAGAACGTCGGAGAGAGTATTACGAAAAGATAGTGAGTGTCTTTCTCCTTGGTTCATTTTGGGAGAATGCCTTATGCCTAAGTGGAATTTTCCCCCAATGGGATTTTCCCATGCATTTTACCAGGAAACATAGAAAGGGCAGCCTAGAAAAAGTCAGTGCCCTCCTAACCATACCCAAGCACTCCGAGTTTGTTGGCAATGTCCATTTTGCTCTATGAGTTCATGGTGACCTAACCCTAAGTGGAATTTTCCTCCTATGGGATTTTCCCATGTATTTTACCAGGAAACATAGATAGGGCAGGCTAGAAAAGTCAGTGCCCTCCTAACCATACCCAAGCACTCCGAATTGGTTGGCGATGTCCATTTTGCTCTATGAGTTCATGGTGACCTATTTATTTATTTATTTATTTATTTATTATTTTAATTTCTATACCGCCCTTCTCCCGCAGGACTCAGGGCGGTGCACAGCATATTAAAAACAGATACAATAACAATATACAAAAATAAAACCCTTCTAAAACCAAATTAAAAACCAAATATTAGAGGCTGTGTTCCAATTAAAATTATACTTAAAATCGTCCCTAAATA